TAGGCATTTATGATTATAATAACAATTGAAGTGCGAATGATAACAAATAGATTATGTAATATATGGAATGGTACATAGAGAGTATATAACTCAGAAGGGGGTGAAAAAATTGTCATATAAAGTGACTTAACTATGAAAATTAAATGTCGAACGTGGAGTGTGATTACATTGACAGGAATCATTATGAGTGACGATAATTTCTACTGGAAACATGATCATCAAGTAAGCAGTAGTAGATCACTATTGTGTGTTATAAATCAAATAAACAAATCGAATATGGAATGAACATTCTATCACAGTGCCCGGATTTTCAACACCAATATCAAGTCAGTGCTTCTGTATGGTTCAGAGACTTGGCGCGTCACGAAAGGCATTTCCAATAAACTACAAACATTCATCAACAACTGCCTACGCTCGTTACTGACGATCAGATGGCCAGAATGGAAGGAATAAGCAACAAGGAGCTCTGGGAACGAACCAACCAAGAACCTATCACCCAACAAATCTGCAGAAGGAAGTGGAGATGGATTGGGCATACACTGAGACGGCCGATTGGGGACATCACGAGCCAGGTCAAACTCTCGAGTGGAACCCCGATGGGAACCGACGAGTTGGACGTCTGAGGGTGACATGGAGGAGATCGTGCGAGGAGGAAATGAGAGCTTGTGGGCTGTCGTGGAGCCAGGTTCAAAAGATTTCAGAGAACAGAGTTCACTGGAGCTGTGTTCCATTAGGAACCCAAGGGACTAATGATAATAATAATAATACAGTGCCCAAGTTTTACACTTATATTAATGGATTATTTTCATCTTTGTTTGATAACTAAGTATGGCCGAGTTGGATTAAGATATATCCAAAAGAACCTTTATAATTCCTTGTCATTTTCATCAACAACCAGGTTTAAATCATACGCTATCTAGTCAACTTTATCAAAAGTAGACGAGTATGCAGATAATAATGTATAATGACTACATTCCTATTTCCATTAGGTGAAAAAGATAAATAGCTCTGGTATATATTTCAAAAGTATTTCTATTCCGTTACTTCAATGAAAAGATGTAGACGGTTACTTCATTATGCTGTTTATGTGACAAAAATGGATTAAACGTCGATGTGTATGGGCTACTGGTGTATCATTAAATCAGTTCAGCAAATGTAGCGTGGAATGAAGCTGCAAGACAGCCAACTTCACATAGTGGAGACAGTATCCATACTTATTCACTTTACCCTCTTTAGTTGATTCTCTGATGAGGTGAATTTAGAACTGTGAATCGACTATTCACCGCAGACAAGTTGACGTGTTGTACTGTTCACTGGTTCACTTTCTCAGAGATAATATTCTTATCCATTTACTTGTTTGTTTATTTTCAAAAATTGCCAGTATCGTTTTTATTCACATTGTTTGTACTCGCTCTTTGCTTGTATATTTATTCTTCCCCGAACACATGAATTACTCACTTCTTGATGAAGCCGACTGAATATGATTGCTTCTTGAAGCATCATTCGGTACAAAATGATGTTCTTCAAGCTTCCTATAAAGTGTCTTTGAAACCTATTGACTACTGAGCAATGTGATGTATTTGCGCAATACATTTCGAACAATCTGATCATACATTCACTTGTCTCAAGTCAATATATATTAAACCGAGGACTGACAGGGGAGTGAGGGGACAAATACCACAATTAACACAATAAAGGATTAAAATTAAGCACAAAAACTGTGGAAATTCAGGTACCTTCCTGTCCATGTAGACTTTGTGTAAACTAACCGTCTTATTGAACGACCTTCTCGTCGACTGAGGAGTATATCCAGGAATAGCAGTTGATTATTATTCTCCTTCACACAAGTCAGGCTGATGTGTGATGCTACGGCGTTAAGTCTATTTAGTAGACAAGCCATATCCTCATGCTTCTCACAAATCACTATGAAATCATCAGCATATCTCTTGTAAAGAGGAACTTGAGCGATGAGAAGCCATAGCCATACACAAATGTAAACCACCTTTATGTGTTCAAAAACAGTTTGTTCTTACACCACATCTACCCCTTGGTAAACTTTGTTTTCTTACCAAGATTAGGACCAACTATGTCACTCTTCCTGTTTGTTCTCATCTTTCTTAATTTTAATCCCCTATTGTGTTAATTGTTGTATTCGTCCCCCCCCCTCCCCTCTCAGTCCTCGGTTATATATATTGACTTGAGACAAGTAAATGTGTGATCAGATTGTTCGAAATGTATTGCGCAAATACATCGCACACATTGTTCAGATAAACTTCGCCTTCTAATTACGCTATGGAAATTCATAAAAGGGACAAACTGTTTCAAATTATTGACTACTATTTCAAAAGTGAGATATACACTTTCACTGATTCACCTACATACGATTGAAACAATTGTCTAGCACCCTACTACCACTTCTATGACTACTCCAAGGAATCCATGAGTGTTAACTCGTACAAGATTCAAATTCTGTAGCTTAAAAGGGAATAATATCCCTTCTTCAGTGTACAGACTGAATTTGTACACCATCTCTGAATATGTGTGAACCTCTATATAACCTCGCAATGAGAACAATGGACTGCAGATAACTGTCCACTTCTTGGTTCACAAACTCCGCTAAGGATATACTCCTCCAGAGGTAGTGACTCTCTCTCTCTCTCTCTCGGAAAACCAATTCAATCACTAAAGAAACTTCAGAGCACAAAAAAAAGATAAAACGTAGAATTAGACTTATTTCTTACTGGAATCGTGTAGACAAAATGACACCGGCTTGTGAAAGCCTTCGAGAAACCAATCGGCTGATGTGTGTTCTCTTGATGTAAGCGAAAGTAAGCATACGGACATGAAATATCCGCACGATGTTTAAAGGTTCCTAGAAAGGCTGCCCAGATTGCAAAATAGATGAGACAGTATAGCACGAAAGTGCTTGGAATATGCGAAAGCAGGTAAAATGGAAGTGGACTCTCCAAACTGTCAACACGAGAGTCAACAAACTACTCCGACGGGAAACTAGGCATTTCAACATATACAGAGAATTCATTTACAGCCAAAACCACTTCCAAATAAAACATTATCGTACCAATTATTTTCAAAAAAGGAAAATATGAGATTAGGCATTGAAATAGACGAAAACGCTGCAGAGAAGCAGACGTAATCTCCAACATATCTGGTTAGCTCCAATACCATGCTCTACCGCGTAAAGTAGCATTGTATCAGATTTCCCTGTAAGGATGTCTAACCTACTAATTGAAATTGAGACTTCAATACACTATCAATGAAATGTATCAGAATACAAGGTAAACTGTTGGCATATTTTATACAAAAACAGGATATATACTGTCACCAGTCATGTCAACACTTTGTCACAACACATGCACACATAGTATAAGGAATATTTTTGTAATTTACATGCTTAGAATTATCATGGATTATGATGTAATAAATAGTCCCATCTATGCTTGAAGATAAGTTGTTTATACTGAACAGGCATTTCATCATCAAACTGCTTACCGTAACTTCTGTCGAATCAATTCAGACAAACAGTAGACAAAGATTTAGCTGAAAACAAAATGAAGTGGTAAATCACCTATTGTGAGGATACCACAAACTTGGTATACACATCAACAGATGAAACACCAATATGAGGAAATAATGCAGATCACTGTTGAATGGTTGATCAGATATGATGAAGACCAGTTCATCTGACTTCACCTTCACTGTCTGTCACTGATATCCAAATATTCTCACTTAACACTTCTCTGTATACATTCCAACCTGACTGATCTCATCAGACAACTCCACTGTGAAATCCATTCACCTAGCTCAATACACCATTTTGAATACTTGATGTTTGATAACTTCTTCTCATTTGTTCATTCCAACGGAATGTGTGTACATTGAAAGTGGAGTGGAAGATTACTGAAATTCATGCTGACTGAAAATGTATCCAGGTAATGCAATAGAGTTTACGATGGACTTCCAGTTAGCTCTCGACATCACGGAAGGCAATGCAAACTCGATCTATTGTACTGATATGAGTGAGGATGTTCATTGGATTCATGACATTACAGTGTGTGGTGATATCCGATGAGCAAATATACTGTTGAATGCTCAACAAGTAATCGATTGCAAACCAACATTCTCAAAATCGATACAACACACCTTGTGTCAATGAAGTGAGGTGGGGGACTGTGGGTGGAGCTGGGGATGGGGCTGTGGCTGGGGCGAGGGCTAGGGCGGCGGTGGTGGCGGTGGTGGCGGCGGGCGAAGATTCCACTGCATGTGTTAGACAACTAGAAGTGATTCAGTCAAATGATAAATTGAGGCCTACGGAAATCATTGGGTGAACACAACAGTCCCTGGACAACACTTATATCACTGAAAGTATCTTCGTGAGAAGAGTTTCTGCAGACCAGAATTTAGCTGAAGGGGACATCAGTGATTCCTTCATATTACGTTGCATATGTTCTGGGTGACAGGCTGCATGCAACCGTTTTGACAGAAAGCAGCTTCCAATAGCTTGTCGCATTTGAGAGTATGTTGGAAATCTCGTCAAGTATCGACTAGGTATTCTAAGCGTTTTGGAACGCAGTTAAGAGTGGATCTGGACAGACAGTAACAAACAAGTGAGTCAGTTGTGCTTTCCCTCTCTCTCTCTCTCTCTCTCTCTCTTTCGCCTTTCATCACTCACACTGACAACACATGCACGTCTGCACATCACAGATTGAATTTCAACTCCACCAACAATCATACCGCCAATATGAGTATGTTCGTGTACTCACAGTGTATTCTTTACCTACCTGTTACTCCATTATACCTTCCTACACATGACGTCTGTTTCATCATTTCGATGACTTGTTTAGGTGATACTGACAATACGTGATAAGAATGATTGGCTATCGAGTATCAGACAAACTGTTCTCCCAAAGCCAAATACTCATCATGACATGAAGCTCGAAGAACTCAAGCAAACACTTGAACTTACTCCTTCGTTCGTCAAAATGGCCAAGGATTCAATGAGATTCACCTTCCAAAAGCCAAACATGGATTTAGATAATGATGAAGAACTGTTGGCATGTTTTGACGAGCATAATAGACGAGTGGTGGAAACTGTTCCAGAGGATCGTTTATTAGTTTATCAACTTGGTGATGGTTGGGAACCACTATGCAAATTTCTCAATATTCCTGTCCCACAAAATATACCCTACCCATGTGTTAATGATCGCGTTGAGATGATGAATATTACAGAATTGAAGAAGAAACAGGCAACGTGACGCAACGACAAAAGATATCCTCAAATGCTTTGACTACTCTCTTAATTAAATGATGACCTCAGACGTATGAAACCAATTAGAAAATAAAATGTTGATTCACTTCGTCTTATTCCTCATCCTGTTTCTCTCTGGGAATATAAATGTTTGGATGTATGCCACTCTCTTACTCTACACACACACACACACACACACACACACACACACACACACACACACACACACACACATACACACACACACACAAACACAACTCCCATACACACCACATATCATAGGTGAATTACTTTTCGGCTCGTATTTCACAAACTGACACACGTGGAGAGATCACTTCACAACTAATCATTTCTGAGAATTCCATCTCACAAATTCGATCCTGACATTCAGTGTGCAGGAACTGAACTAGTAAATATATTGAGAGAATGGGGAGTAGACTATGTTTGTAGGATAAGTCATTCTGACAAGTGATGTGTGAGTGTGCGCGTTTGTGTGGATGTGTATGTGTGTGCGTGAGTATAATTGTGTTCAGCAGTGAAGAGTGTATAGTGAAGTAGACATTGATAATAGTCAGATGAAATTACTGTTCAGTTCACATGTATGTAGAAGGTTTACCCGTGAAGATTGAAGTGACTATCATCGATATGTGACTTCAAATGCTGTCTGTGAAAAGTGATAATTTTGAAGCGATATTTGAGTGATCCATACTCTGCGTCAAGATGTCAAGTGAGGAAATGAATTTCAACTACATAGATTTCCACAATTGATTCAGGTACTGGGAATTATAGTGCATATCACGGGCGACACCATTCAAATCGTTGCCAGATTAGATAAGAGTTCTGAAGAAACATCTTGTAAGAAACTTGATGAAGGTGAAGTTGAATGAGACAGCTTCCTGGTGTCACTTCACTCGGATTCACTGTTAACATGACAACAATAACAGATGCATGACGTTCACACAATAGTGTAAAACAACCTTGATAATTCATACTGCAATCAGCTGTCTATACTCATACAACTCAATGCAACCTCCTCCAAAATGATCAACATATCACACCTAACACTGTCACTCATCTCATTCAAATCCAGTGGATACACAAGTAACGAACGGTAAAGTCGAATACATACAGTTTCCTCTATGACAGACAAACAGCATGTATCATAAAGACGATACCCACTGCATCCCCTTATATTTTACAACATCATACTCAAACACACAACAGCAAACATATTTCAAACGGCAAATAGTGATACTGGACACCCAATGAATGAACATACCCCCAATTGACTACTCCACACACTCGACTGTGTATATGTAGATGCGACAAGAAGAGATAAGAGAGATAGATAGATGGATACATAGATAGACAGATAGATATGTGAACAAATCATAGAGAAGGATAAGGATTGATGTGTGGAAAATGTTTGAGATATCAGGTGGAGGTCTGGAAAGGATAAAGATGAGGTGAAAATGATCTCGATAAATAGGTAGAATATATTTGAGTTATGCCATTGTCAGGAGACCAGTCATCATTGTAGTCAGAGGCTTGCACACGGAAAATGAAGAACTAACAGATAAAGTTAACGTAGCGTGAACGATAATGCCAGTAAAGTGGATGGAACAAACCACTTCGTCACTGAAAACAATGATCTAAAACGAACTGTAGGAGGCAAGATCTGACAGTGGACATGAATGATATGAAGAAATGCAGAGAACCGAAGTAACCAACAAAGCTACAATTATCAAATATATATATGGGGATTGTGGTCTGGTGTGCAAATTGTCTTCCAACAATGACTTAGTATTCAGTGAAATCGAACAACTATGCTCATTTCGAATGGTGACTGGTGCATCCTGAAGCAACTTGCAGGCCTCACAGAATTTCATTGGTAGTACGAACAATGAAAATGTATCAACACTACCAGAAGTCGTAATAGATTTTGTAGCGAAATCGAAACTGAAAATATCCCCTACAAACACCATACAGCAAATTACAATCCTGACTCCACAATACTGCTTCACAAAATACAATTGTGAAGCACTAAGATGCGAATTCAAATGTGGTCAACAAAATGGGATGAGACGTGGAACTGGCAGAGGGATATCAAGAAACAAAGACTTCCAAACACACAGATGGAGAGGAGTCATCGAGATATCTTGAAGCCATCATTTACAGCTAGGTAACATCATCATCCCGAGATAAGTGAAATCAGGTGTTGACACTAACAAACAGTAGATTATGGTACATCGACAACCGAATGACAATAGTGAGTATTGTTCACTGTCAACAACCACACCATAATCTCAGTCGTTGAGGAGATTAATTAACAAGTGAATAGTGAGGGGACCTACTGAAGATGGAGGGATAACCGAAGTATAGAGAGATTGAGGAAGTGGAGTGGAACCGTTGAGAGGACACGTTGAGGATATTCTACCCACACATTCACTATATAACAGTGATAATGTTGAGTGAGAATCCACGTTGTTTGAGATGGGGAGATGACCACCAACTTTCTTCCCATGCAGATCACTTGGTTGTCTTACCCGAGATAAGCAGGAATGAGCAACCAGTGAAGTTGATAATGCGGTCTCCAACCTGTTTCGATCCAACCTAGTAGAATCCATTGGTTTTCCACACAAAGTTTTCAAAACTGGAGGTAGGGAATTGTTAAATGAAGTAGTAGAGGTGCTAACTAGGTAGTGTGTGGGAATCAGATATAAAGCCGTCAGATTGGTCTACCCACGAACACCCAACTCATCGTTTCCCCTTTGCATTCCACTCGACAACCTGGCCTGACCTCACCTGACCTCACCTCACGTGGTGTGTGATGTCCCCAAACGATCTTCTCAGTGTATGCCAAATCCAATCGAATCCAATCGAATCCATCTCCACTTTCCTCTCCATATTTGTTGGGTGATGGATTCTTCGTTGGTTAATTCCAAGAGTGAATTCCTTCTTCCTCATTCTTTCTGGCCTTCTCATCTCATCTTCAATATCGAGTGAGTGTAGGTGACAGATGTTGATGATTCATGTCTGCAGATTGTTGGGAATGCTTCTCGTAACGCACCAACTCTCTCAACCATCACATAGAAGCACTGACTTGAACTTGAGTGAATGAGTGTTGAAAATCTGGATGTTGTTCACGTTTAATGCTGAGTGCAGCGGAGTGCAGCAGATGTCCACACTGATTGATTTCAGATTAATGCAGGAAGACCTGTCTTGTTGTCTTTTCGGATCCTGACTGGACTTGATGTCCTCATCTGTGCCTGTGCCACATGTAGTTGGAACGATACTGCTAAGTTGGTAGGTGAAAGAGAATACTTCCTTTAGGCTTCTTCCGTTGCTGGTGATAACTGCTTGTTGTTGTTGCAGGTGTTGGTTGGGTATCTTAATCATCTCTGTCTTCGCAACTGTTCAGTTGAAGTCCTGTCTTCCCTCGCTGCCCTGACTCTTCTGTCAACTTGTTGGTTTTCGCCTGTGGATCTTCGACTTCGTGGGACATTAGACATTGGACATAAGTCACCGTGGGCGAAATCCAAATCTTCTAGGGTCCTTGTGTTTTTATCAGTCAAACAGCCTATGTCCATCTTCTCGTTCCTCACATTTTGCTGCATGACCCAGTCCACCACAATCAGGAAGATCATCGGTGGTAGTAGGCGGCAGTCTTGTCTTACTCCTTCCTGTCTTCACTTCAAAGGCGTCAATGAGTATTCCATTGTCAATCACTTGGCATGTGGTGTCGACGTATAGCTTTTGAATGAGTTTGATGAAGGTTTGTGGTACTCTGTAGTGTTGAAGCAGTTGCTTATCAAATAACTTCTCGGTCGACGCTGTCGAAGACCTTTTCAAATTCGATGAAGTTCAGTTAGAGAGTTCACTGCTGTTCCATGCTCTGTTCTATTATGTTGCGTAGCGTAGCGTTGCAATTTGATCCACACATGATTTGAATCCAGTCAGCCTGTTTCCATCGTAGTTTTGAACCTGACGCATCCCTTAGTCTTTCCAAGATGATGCGGCTCAATATCTGTTTGACAGATAATCAGTAACAGTTGAAGTATCATCTTTACGTTGTAAATGCCTGTCAATCCATTTGAATATCAAAACAAGATTGTTTTCAATGGAAGCCACATCAACGTTGGTTGGTGCAAACCACTGTATTCATTAAAATATCATATGAATAACACACTAAAGATATGAACCGAGGTGACTAGTTGACAGGCAAATAACTGCTCGACATTCAATGATTACAAAGTAATCGTGGAATGATTTTCCCTTTGTCACTCGTAGTCATCTACCATACCATCGTTATTCAGTGCATTCATTTAACATTGCACCAACGGATTAACTGATCGATTGTCAATCTTACAATTAAAGTTATTTCAGTAACCATACAACGGTCTTCTAGTAAGTATGTGATATATGATAATGAGGTTAATAATGTGTTGATCAGATTAAGGAATAAAAGTCAAGTGAATTTTCATATTCGATGGAAGTGTAGGTTCAGTAGCCACTTAATTAGATTAAAACATTTACAGATAAATGAAGATGATGATGTTGCTTGTATTATCTCGGCGTTGAATGGGCCGGACTCATCGGTCTCAATTGGCATATTGGCTCCTGCACAGATGTCTCGATATTGCTTATATTTGGGCCATATATTAATGATGGTTAGTGGCTACCAGTGGAATCCAGCCAGACACACATTTCATCCAATTCGAGACTCATCAGCTGGATATGTCTGTACCAAAATTAAAACTATACCCATCTCATAAGAACTGACTATTGTGATTCGGTGGTCTAGTGGTTAACGATCTGGTGTTTGAAACAATCGCTGCGAAGTTCGAATCCCAGTGCGGAGAACATCAGTCACTGAGAGGCAGGTACACCCAGTTGACAAGTTTCAAAGAGAACGAAACCCGTGTAGTCAACTCAACTGCTAGGCACAATTCATCATTAATATATGAGTCGAACACGGTCAGTATCGAGGCATCTGAGTAGGACCTT